GAGGCGCAGCAAAGACCCGGTGAAGGTGCGATACAGGTCGAGTGGCGTGCCCAGCGCACCGGCAAAATCCCATCGTGAGGGACCTGTTAGCCGGGAGGGACTGGGAGGGAATGAGATTTGGCTACATCTCATCCATCATCTCAGTTGACTTCTGGGCCCTGGGGTTTCGGTGTCGTTGTCGTTGTTGTTGTTGTTGTTGGTTGCTTGTTGGTTTGTATTTGTTGTGGTTGTTTGTCGATTTTGTTGCTTGTTGTTTGCGTGTTTTGTTCGTTGTTTTTTGCTGCTTTGTGTTTTTGTTGGTTTTCTTGTTTTTGTTTCTTGGTTGGTTGGTTGGTTAGTTTGGTTCGTTTGGTTCGTTCGTTCGTTCGTTCGTTTGTTTGTTTGTGTTTTGTTAGTTTGATTGGTTGGTGTGTTTGCTCTTTTGTTCCTTTGTTTTTGAGACAGTTTGGGATGTCTAATTAGAGAGGATGGAGACGTGCCTTGCAAAGGTGAAGCCACAAACTATTCTAGCTATCCCACGGGGCTGTTTTAGGCGCGATGGTGTGTCCAAGAAAGAAAAACTTGGAGAGAAGTTGGCTGCACTGAGTTGCAGGGCCGATGCGGCCGAATGCCGCGTTCCAACTTTAGAATGATGCGGACAATTGAAGGATCTACAAAACGCTCAAGAAGTTCAAGTCTTGAAGTGTTAAATTCAGGAGTTTCAACCATTTGTAAAGTTTTCCCAACACTATTAAGATTTTCCCCAACAGCCCAACATGTAGACCGCAGTCTTCTCAGATTGAGTATCTAGACAAGACTGATTTTTTGATGGTGATAAATCAAAAAGTGATCAAGAGCACCGGCAACCTCACTTGATAACTTCAAACGTTTCAGCAAGTCTTTCAATGAATGCAACTCTTCTGGAATTTATATAGGACGTACGCACAAACTGTTCGGAACTGTTAACTCTTATTGGGAAATTATCCACACTGGCACAGCGCAGCAACAAGAAACTAACAAACGACAATTGAGGTGTAGGCACCACGGATACTCTCTTCAAGCCGGAAGCATGCTTTAAATGAGAGGGCTCAGGTACAGGAGATCAAGGCCTGTGGCGTTGGCGGTTTTTTGTGGGCGCGCGTTCAAGCAAAGAGATACTCGACAAATGCCCTCAGAGATTGGAAAGTGTCAGTCACATACAAGTATAATACAATTATTTACAACCTTCTGCAATGGTCCCGGAACTGGATCTGAAAAGGAAAAACCGTTCGATCAAGTCGGACCGTTCACTTCAAAACTGCTAGCAACGGGGTTTTGAGAGCATAACGTGTAGCGTGTCAGCAATGATATAATTTTTTGACCCTCTTGAGATACACTGTTTGTTGGTTTGTTCATCCAGAGATCGACTGCGGACCAAGTTGGACGCCCAACCAGCGGGACCAAGGAACTTGCCAAGGGACAGAATAGTTTGATAAATCAGTTTTTCTTGACTTCGGTGAGTCTCATTAATCCAATCAGGTTTCTCAACGGTTGATCCACATGGCCCATGGCACACATCCTAGCAACGGAAATGCAAAAACACTGAGTTTGTCATGTTTTTTTCGCAGATCTTGGACATGCATTGGAGCCTCAACAACAAGTCTCAACCCAATCGCAAATGCTGCTGTATATGATGAGAGAAATCATCGTATTTGTTCAGAATGTTAAATCTCACATGTTACCCATGTTCAATAATACGGATTGTTTTTGTTGTTCTTCTCAACTGTCCACCTGGGGGGAAATCGTTCAAATACAGCCCCAATGTGCGACCTTCAACATAAATTTTTGGACCGTGCCCACTGCAGATCACGGTTTGATGCGAGGTATATCTCTTGGTGGGGTTCCGGGCATTGCGTCCTCTCCGGCGAGGGTGCGTACATGGTGCAGGCGGGGTGCTCTGCGGAACCAGGTTCCTCCATTTTCTCAGGTGGGATGTATCTCAAATTAAAAGAAGGGAACCCACAAAATACCAGTGGAAAAGGAACATAGACACCAGCTAGGTAAGGCCTCCCGAATTCTTGGAGATGCGCCAAGTGTTCAAGCGGTTCAATCCAAAAGCATGGGTGTCACCTGAACAATCCCCGTCAAACCTTGAACGGGCACGGTTAGTTTATGTGGGGACCGACCGAAGCAATAGGACGCCATGGATTTCCTAGGATCGATCGAGGTGGACCATTAAGAAAACGGGTACGTGTCCTGCCGAGGTTCAATACGGTTCAAGTTGTTTCTTTCATATTGCCTGTGGAAGTGGGTCTTACAACCTGGAGCCGCAGTCCATAGATTGAGTATCGCCGGTAGGTGAGCCAAGGTCTTTGGTTTTAATCCACTTCGTGGCACCGGCGCCCGCTGGATTCCGTCGCACAGATTCTGTCCCCGGTCGTCGTTTCCTTTGGATAAAATCTGTGGGCTGTGGGGGGCTAGAAGGTGTTAGTCCGCTTTCGAAAAAGAAAACAACCCAAAAGTTCAAGATATCTCCAAGAGCTACTACAACCAACATAGTTATGTTGCAAAGGTAGAGATGTTTTTGGTATAGCACCTGTTCTCAGAAGAGAGCTAACTGTGATTTCTAAGTGTCTTTCACCCTTTTGTTTGTTACTACGGGACCAAATCACTAACTACCTGACCTTGCCTATCGCTGGCAGGAACACACCAAAGGCAACGAGAAGAAACTCAGACGACCTCGTCACCGCAAGTCGTGGGGGTCGTTCCGACCTCCGACCGCGCCCAGGACCTCTATGCCACTGCGGGGCCGAAGCACTGCACCGAAGTCTTGGCGAGTTGTCGCGAGAGGCGCCGCCGCGGGCGTCGCGGCGCGGCACGGTGTTTTTGAAGCCGTGTGCACCGGTGTCCTCACTTGAGATGGCGCACGAGCGGTTCTGTCTCGACGGCCGTCAGGTGTGTTCCGCATCGAAACTGAAAAGAACACGCGAAGCAAAGGGTGTTTTCTTTTTAGTGAAAGCACGTCTTCCGGAACAGGATCGGACCCGTCCGGATCGCGCCCTTTGGCGGCTTGAGCGAGGCGGATGGACCAATCCACCAATCCGATTCCACGACCTCCACAGTTGAGCACCATCCGCGGACCGCTCACGTTGGATTCGCAGCACCATCGGCCAGGCCTTCGGCCCGCTTCCCCGGCATGACGCCCATCGCTTCGGCGCAGGCGCGGGTCAACACCAAGTCGAAGGAAAGGAGCAGGAAAGGGACGAAAAGCTGGTGTTCTCTTTTTGGGGCGGTTTCCTGTTGCGGTGGGCGGTTCTTTGGATGGCTTCCTTCTATACTTGACATGTTTCGCAGGTGTCAATCAGGTTTCAGCAAGGAAGTTTCTGTGTGGGTCATACACATGGTATCGAAGATGACACAGCAGTGAAAGATTAAGATGCTGATCTCTAGGTGCGTGGACAAAGTATTTTGGATACCAGGATACCAGGATCATAGATGGCCTTTTACTATTGGCTGATTGATTTAATAGAGGGGATACCCCCGAGTGTACCAACAATAGATCAATAGTACCAAACCGACCCCCTGTATTCTTCCCAAGTACGGACATCACTGACCAGCATACGGTGTTTCCCACTGGACCGCCACCAGAAGAGAGTCCGATACGAGGTTATTGGGGGGCGCTCATGATGGGGAGGTTCGAGGGCTTTGCACATGCAAGATATTCTCAAAGGGAAGGACTTATCTGAAAGGTTCACCGCAGAAACATAGAGAAGACGACATCCTTCAGATGACTTTACCACTTTTGTGTGAAGCAGAAAGTGGGGTGGCAGACAACATGGCCAGGAAAACCCGCGTTACCGTCGGCGCGAACATGTTTGCCTTCCGGTCCACCGGAGGTCATCCGTTCTTGCAAAGCAAAAATGACTATCAAAGACTCCACTCTTTGGACAGCTACGTATCGACAGCTCCAAGGGCTCTATGTTTGGAAAAGGGAGGCAAGAGAACGTCCAAAATCGCCCAGAAATCTTCAAGAGAACAAGGTCGACTTCCATTCATCATTCATCTCTATACCAGCTGCTTCCGTGAACAACACCTGGCTGGACATCTCCACACGATGACTTTCAGGTCTCCCTGTCCAGGGCACCCCGTTAGGTACAGCGCTAGGTAGGTGCTGAGTCCCATCCGCAGGCGTGGCCCTCGGGATGGGTGCCCTTCCCCATGGAGTGTTGGCCGCAAGCGGGTCACTTGGCCAGCGGGTCCTCCGTCACTGCCGATTGGTTTTTTGGGGGTTCGTTCGTTTCGCAGTGCCAACGATTGACTTCTCATGAAGAGGTGCTTGGGATACAAACTAAACACTTCCCCTAGGCTTCCAAGCCATGTTTTTCACCTGGATGCTTACAGTTACACCAGGTCAACCAGCTGCTGGTCAACCGGAAGCCTTTTCGGCGTCCTTTCCTGTCAGGGCGATGGAGACGAGGATGGATGGATGTGGTTTCGGATATGGTTATGTTCGACCTTTACTTGGGATGATTGTTCCCACTGTCTCAGATTTTGTTCAGTTCGTGAGTTGAAAACAGGTCACCAGCACACCAGGAATACACGGAGGACAAGGCCCAGGCACACCCTACTTGGAGTTTGTTCCAGAGGATGTGTTTCACTCTGCCTTTTGTGTTCGTTGTCACGTGGTCAACACAGGGGAAAGACATTGAAAGGAAGAGCCAAGATCTTTGAACAACCTGAAAAGGTCAGCAGTGGCGCTGCTTCGTTGCTCGCTGCTTCGCTGCCTCCCGTTGCTCCGTCGACGTCGACTGCTGGCCCCGACTCGCCGTCGCACGAAACCGCACGAAGACGAACCTCGGTGGTCCATCGGTGGTGAAACGGGTCAAGCGAACCGACTCCTCGGTTGGGTGGTCAATGTGGCACCTGCCACCCTGCGAAGAGTTCGCGGTGAAGAGCGAGCAAAGTCACGAGTGAGTCTTAAGAGCCCGTGAAACGACGGAGTTGGGTCAAAGTCAAGACGCGGGCTGGGGACGGCTCGGTACATGTTCCTTTTCGCCGATGGGTTCGGGTTTGGTCCAAAGGCGGGAGCTTCTTGAGATTTTTGGACTCAACTCGGCCGAGTACTTCACGTTGTTTTCTTGCAGGCTCACCAAAAGAAGGTGGAAAAACCCGCGAGGATTGTTGAATTGGAAGCTGCTGAGGTCGTCTTCTGGAAAGGTGCGAGAAACAGCAGGCGAGGAGAGGCGTTTGATGTGTCAGGATAGGCGTTTCAATGGCGAAGTTGGGCATGGCTTGAAAAGGGGCGGGACCTGCTCTTCTACGTTTGATCGGCTTACTGAGATGTTTGCACCAAACCTCCCCACCCATCGTCGTTTTCCACCACCGAGGTGAGATGCCGAGGTTTTATATCTGCCCTGCCTCAAAAACAAGGGTTTTGAGGGTACAAACATGTACAAACCCTTGTTATAGAGGGTTCGACCCCTTCTAAGGAGGGTGCAAGGATCCTTAGGGTGATTAAAAAACGGTCGCCAAGCATCCAGAGACCAGCGTTGCTTCCCAGCCAGGGCATGCTGGCAACGTCCTTGCGTCGACTCTTCATGCTGGGAGTCTCCCGATCTGAAGAGGAGTTCCAAATCAAGTGGGTGGGTCTATCAATCAAGAGTTTCGGGTTTAGGCGTCCCACGGACCCGAGTCCGGAGCACTTCGCGGGGAATGGCTGAAACCCGGTCGTCCGGAACCTCCGAGCGCGACGATCGTCCGGGACCTCCGGGACCGGGCAGGGGCCGTTCGGGGTCACTGGTTCGTTTGTGATTCGAACGAAGCAAAGCTACCAGCTGCTTCCGTGAACGATGACACCTGGCTGGATCACCTGGCTGAATATATCCACACGACGACTTACAGGTCGAGACCTGTCCAGGGCACCCCGTTAGGTACAGCGCGCCCAGTGGAACTTCGGGTCTTCCACCAGGTCTTCGAACTTCCAGATGGTCGACGCGACTTCCGCATGGTCGACGCGATCTCTCGCGCCTGATCCTTCGTTCACGAGCCCTCCGCAGGTCCTCCAAAGCCCCGGCGATGGGGCCTTCAACTGCGACAACCTGGTCCTAACCCCCGTTGGGAGACCCGTGGCGAGTCTTCCCAAGAAGGAGAGGAGCGTTCATGTGGCGAGTGTTTTCGAGGCCTGTGTGGTTAAAAGCTTGAACCCCCCCCAGCAGCGTGAAGTGTGATGTTCAATTCAATGTTTCCCAGGTGGATTGTGATGCTCACTCGCCCAAACAAGCTCAAGCTCATGCTTGCAATTCCATCGGGCCTTGACTAGGTCACATCCACCTATGAGTAGGGTTGCAACTACCATCAGGAGGGGTTTAGAACGTGGCTTGTGCTTTGATTCACTCTTCGAAACGGCTTGTCGGGCAGGGTTTACCCAGTCAGAAGAAAAGAAAGTAGATCAAGCAAGCATGTGTCAGTTGTTTGGATGTTCAGATTCCAATCACAAATGTTGGGACCCCCACTGTCAAGAACCCCCACTGTCAAGTGAAGAAGAACTCCGGTTCTGGACTTCCTTGGAAGGACTGGAGCTCAGGACTGCACCTCAGGACAGCACAAAGGACAGCTTTCAGCTTCCCCCCATCTTCGTTCTGGAAAGCTCGTAAAAGATCTGAAAGGATCCAACGTCACCGGTCAGTCCGGCCCTCCGAAACGGCATCGGAGCATCGGATGTCGCTGGAACCAACGGCAGCGGAGCTAAAGATCTGCCCCGCAGACATCGTCTTTTTCATGTGCAAATGGGTCTTCATAAGGGTCTCAACAGAAAATCCTTCCGTCAACTGCACCTAGATGTCGCGGACACCCAGAAAAATCACCAAACCACACGCCCATGTCGACCATGTCGCGCGCGCCGTGTCGTTCTTCCGAGGTGCCGCTTTACGAGACGTGCCACTCGCACTGCGGGAAGCAGCCCCTTTGCTCCATCTACGTGGAGAATGCCACCGGCTGTTTCCTCGGCCGGGACCGCCCGGGAGAGCGAGCGCGTTGAACAGTTGAAGCACTTCGTTTTTTTCGCAAGGCCGTTGAGGAGCTTGGAAAGCAAGTACAGTAGAACGCAAATTTCCGAACAACTCTGTGAGTCGTTGGATGTGCAGAAAGCAGGTGTCCTCCCTCATGGCGTTGCATGACGGAGCGCCGATACAGCTGTGCCGACCTTCAACAGTCACAATCAAAGGCCAACGTTGGCTTTGATGAACAAACTGAAGCCATGGAGATTGGGAGAATGAACAAGCCGTTTTCACCAGATGTCATTTCATTCATTCAAAAGGTTCGGAGAACACCACTGTAGCTGTGAAGATTCCCTCTCATGATGGGCTCGAGGTCCTCGCTTGGATTTGTCACCCACGGAACCCAGAAACTGAACAAGTCACAATTGTTGGAACCTCAATCTTAGCTGCCTTAGGCGTTGGAGAAGTGCAAGTCGAAGGATATCCAGGATATGAATTGCAGATGTCGTTTGCAAACGGAGCCTCCTTAGCGTGAACGACAAGCGGTCTGTAGACCCCACCGAAAAGAAGGAAAACACAACAAAGACCCGCAGGTCGTGTCTTGACCCATGACTTGGGGGTCTAAGAAAACATATATGACAACCATGTCTATGAACAGAACACCATTGGGGATCCATAGACTCCACTAGATCGAACCAACGTCATGTCGAACTTGGGGATCGAAGACCGTCGACGGCGAAGTTGGTGATGAACGTTCCTGGCGTTCCACTGGTGTGGCGTGTCGAAAAAGTTAAAAAGTGCGTTCAAGTCTGGCGACACCTCCGGACACCTCCAGACATCATTTTTCTTGGGGACATCGATCCAGTGGGTTTAGGGAGACCCCAGAAGAGCCAAGAAGGAAACGACAGATGGCAGTCCAAGTACTTGGGGGGGGCGCTTGCGCAAGCGCCATCCATCCTTTTGATCTACCCTTCTTTGGTTGGTCCACCCGTGTTTTTGGGGGGGTCCCCAACGGTCGGTTGCCCCCCAGATCTCCACCGCGGTTCCGCGCTCCGTCCGCGCTCCGTCCGCGTGCCTCCGCCTTTCGCTCGGTCGGCAGCTGGTTCCGTGAGGTCGGTCCACCGCCGGCTTCAATTGCTTCAGCAAGTCGCCCAGGAGACCGTTTTTCGGGGAGAAAGGAGCGGAGGAGAGGAGGACGAAGAGGAGACCTGGCTACTGGAAATGGTGTTTTGGTTGATCTCTTTTATAGGAGACCGTCTGTCCAAAACAAAGAGGCGAACAGATGATCCCAGCTCTGCAAACAGCGCAGAGTCTGTTTGCGTCGAAGCCTCGCCTTGACGTCAGGAGACCCATCCGCGCAGGGCGTTTGCTGCACGGGGAGGTGCGTGTTCTGGTGGATCTTCGACAAAGCCGAGTCTTAGGACTCACCAAGGCGGGACGACGACTCGGGACAGACCGAACGGACCGGAGGACAGACTGAAATCGTTCGAAAAGCCTGGGTGGATGGCAGGCTTCGCGTGCCACGAACGAGTCGCCAGGCCTTCTTTGGAAAATAGAATGAATGGTGTCCGACCTGATTTGGTTTTAAGTCCAACAAGTTGATGTCCGTCAAGCCAAAATACCGTGGTTGGAATCAGACTGGATTGCACCCATTCTTCCGCGGTGAACCGTCTGACCGGCCCGCGCGGGAGGTCTTTAAAGAGGAGGACTTGATCGGCAATCCACGCTCCGTGGGGGTGGAGGGCTGTCGTGCCTCCTGCTACTCCAGCCTCAACTGCCGCTACTGGCAGTATCTCCTTGGACAAGGCAAGCGGTGGCGAGCGGTGTTCCAAAACTGATCCCAGGACTGCACCTCCGCTAAGAAAGCGGAGCCTCCGCTTTGGTCCAAACTGTTGCAAGAAAAACGTGGAGCAAGGCACTATAGGCAACAGATCGGACGGGGAGTCTTGGGCTCACCTCACCAGGTCCAACCATGGAGGTGTCACCTCCGGGAGCGCAGCACATGATGTGGTCGGGTGTTCTTGACCCCCTTTCAAATGATGTTTGTCTTCATACTGTAATACTGCCGTTTCGGTGGTGTTTGTTTCTTCCAACTGGTCTTCATATGTCTGTCATATATATTGATCATCCGATCTATCTTCCACATGAAGAGCGCATGGCATTTCGAGTCTCTGTGTCGTTTCAAGATCTGGCCGAAGAAGAAAAGCTTCGATTGGTCTCTGGCCGTTGGCTCGAGGCTGTTGGCTTGAGGAACCTGGCCGAAATGTTCTGTCTGGCAGACCTGTTTGGACCGGATAGCATGGGGCACCTGATGCGATGCTCTCTTGGAATCCCTCTTGATAAATAACGTGTGAAACATGGTGAAACCCTAAGAGGTTCACAAATCCAAATCCTTCAGACTTGAAACCTCTTGAAACGATGGTTCTATCTGTTCCAATACCTTTCCTTGAGGGAGCAGCAGAATCAACCAAGTGGGAGCTGACTTGAGGCCACAGCATTTCTGTCGATCTCGGTGTGGAGTGGAACCTCCTATCTTCCATGGCCAGAGTACAATCTTCCATACCCAAAAACAACCGGTTGACTCAGAGAGTCAGTGGGAAGAAGATGTGTTGATGTTCCGGGTCTTTCGTCCCATGTGCTTCAACCCGTTTCGCCACGGAAGTGGCGTAGAAAGGCGCGAACTTCGGAGTCGGTGCGATTCCCTTCTCGCACGGAAGTGGCGCCCATTTGAAGGATGGGGAGTCCGACACAGGAGTTTTGTATTTACCCACACCAGCACCACCCAAAGGGTGGTTTATAAGCTTCCCCGCAAAAAAGCATGTTCCATCGAAGAGCCACCCGAAATGGGGTGGTGCACCTCCAAATGGGTCCTCTTCCTCAGCCGTGCCATGCCATCAGTCGAGCGCAGAGAGGCGCGCCGTCGAGCGCCGCCAGGTTTCCGCTGACCGATGGCAACGTGTATCGCGACTTCTCGATCGCCATTGCGGGAGAGTGCCAGAGATGGAGCGAAGTCGAGCGAGCGATTGCGTTCGGAGGGGGGAGGACGGAGGGTCTGGAGTTTGGAGATACGAGGCGGCTGGCAGAGATGAAGGGTTGAATGGGATCATGTGAGATCCATTTCTTTGGCCATGTTGTTTAAAAACAAAAAGCCATGAAGGATGTGTTCTTTAAAAACGAAAAGACTAAGAAGGAAATCCGGACCCGTTGGGTGCTGCTGTTGGGTTTGCCACTCAAACCCATCCACATATATGGCGACCTTGAGACCAGCGACAGCGGGTGGCGTCTCGGTGGTGAGCATCGGAGTCAAACAGTTGCATATTTGTTGCTCGAGAACCATTCTTTGCAACAAAACAGTTACATGGTTTCAGTCAAACAGTTGCATACGAGCCATTTCGTTTGTCTTAAAATGTTTTTTGCCTCAATCGCCGGCCTGTTGAAGTGGCAAAGATTCCCCCCATGATTGGGCTGTCTGAGGTGCTTGCCACTTGATACCGTCTTGGGGAACCCAAATGTGTTGTGGGGCGGAACCACTCGTTCAGAGAAGGTCTCTTCCAATATCTCGGGTTTATGCACGCGTTCCTTTTTCTTTGTATTTGTTTCCCATTCGATGTTCAATGCACGCACGATGTGCGTGCGCCTGTCTGTCATGTGTTCTGCGCCAAAAAAAATAATCAGTGTGTTGGTTGGAACTCTGACTAACTCAGGTATATTCAGCACTTCTGCCCGGGCTTGGGTTGGACTCCTTCTGAGGACGCGGGACCGTTGGACTCACGCGACTTCGTGCGGGACACGACGTGGGGTGTCTGGGCGCGGGACCTGCAGTGGTCAGTCCACCTGCGGTGCTGTTGAGGACTGTCAGTGGAGGTTCAAGGACTGTCAGCGGAGGTTCGAAGGCTGTTCAAGCTTGTGAAAAAAACAGGTGAAGGTGAAGTCGAATGAGTTCTCGGTTGTTTCATGCTTTGTGGACCAACAGGAGACCCGTAGTAGTCTGTTTGGCGTCTGGGCATGCTGTGCAAGGCACCTGGTGCTCGAACTTACCAAAACACACCGCTCCAAAGCGTTCCTCTCTACATCACTTGTTCTAGATCCAGCTACCACCTACCCGTGGCTTCCAAGAACTATAGGCGCTATAGGGTCACCCACCGTGGCTTCCTTCGTGTCCACCTCTTCGTCCACCGGCATCCATGGGGATCGCCCTCCGCCGGACCGGGCGCTCGGGCGAGGAATGGATTCTGGTGGCGCAAGACACGGGCTGCGTGAACAGCAGCTCTGTCAAGGTGTGGATTTCGGGGCACCTGGAAGGGGATGGGAAAACCGAAGTAGAGGTCATCTTATAAGAGGTATACTGTGGAACTGTTTGAAGGGGTCTATAAAGTATATAAATAAGATGTTCGAAATAAGCTGAACATACCTAGTACCGCTGCTTTTCTTTGATTTGGTCTTAGCACTTGCAGTGGGCCTTTGTGTCAGATGAATAGAGAGTGCCCTTCCTGACAATGTTGGGAGCCATCTACAAACCCTTATAATATGAGCCAACTTGATAATATGACTCCTCCCTGTTCCATGAATAACCCCCCTACTACTAGTTGAGTTGTGGTGATGCTTTGCTTTGATCCGAGAAAGGCTTATTTGGGGCCTAGAATTGTTGTGAGATTCTGTTTCATAAAGCTGTCAGATCCGGTTGACCTTTGGCCAACTCACCAACAACGATCTTCCAGCTCCGCCATCTCCAGGATTTGGGCGAGGCCGGCATCTTGCAGTGTCAGAAGCTGGCCGCCAGCGAGGCGGAAAAAACACGTCCAGTTGACAGGGCAGCGAACTCATTAGTCATGAGTACTATCACCTACAACCAGCTGACCGGGCAATGGGATGTGGAGCTCTTTTTGCGGAGCTCGTTTTGGGGAGATGACAAGGGCACTAGATCTTTGGCCTCGGCGATCACTCCAATTTGAGCAGCAGCATGGCCCAGAATGGCCCAGATCTTGTGAAGGAACGCCGATGTGTGCCTTGAAATAGGAAGATCCTTCTTTGGGTTTGGAGGGTCCAGGTTGGTTCTTCACGGGAACGGAATCTCCTTCCGATCGGAATCAGCCTGTGAGCCTTCTGGAGGGCTGAGAAATGTTTGATGCAATTGTTCAAAGCAATACTTTTCCTGTACCTATTCAAGGTTGGCCGTGTCCAATGGAGATTTCAATGTCGTGTTTTTCATGTCATAGACCAGGACGCTCCTGCTGGTACCCTTTTCTTCCGGACGTGCCACAAAACGCCCAAAACGCTCGTCTTCTCCAAACTCGACCGAACATCACACTGGAGTTGTGTGACTGCTGCGGAAAGAGCTGTGAAAGCCCCTGGAGTGAGCCGAAGGTTTGCTTGGTTTCAATAGTCTCAACAGAAACGTCTCGTTCCAGCTCGAAACCAAAAGCCTCCGTTTGAAGCCCTTGAGTCCTTCCAGATTTTGCTCAACCAGAGGTCCTTGCTCCAGCTTGGCCCACCAACGACCCTGGTCGTTGCCGTATCGGTCGTGCTGGCCGACCCTGGTCGTGCATCCCAAACATCGCGTAAGATCAGAGTATCCAAAGACTACGCATACTGAAGAGGCATAAGAGAAGCAGAAGCAACGCCTCAGCACCCCCCTCACAACGTTCAGCGTCTACGCACGCACCTGGCATACGCCGTTCCACCACGCGGCGCCCACGCGTGCCAGGGCTGTGCTGGGACAATCTTCGGCGATGGCCAGCGGTGCTTCTGCATGACCAGCGGCCTTTGCGAGCGACGGCACCAGGCGAACTTCCAGCTCTACGAGCGGAAGGACCTCGTGGAGGCCAAAAAAAAACTCGGTAGAGACATGCATGTCACGGAACTCGGTGCCTGAACTGAACGGTCAAGGGGTCAAGGGCTGGTTTCTCTTCGGAACGCCCTGAATGTTTTTGGGTTGGGAGGGCGCCGGTTGTTCCTGGGAGGAACCCCTCGATGTTCAGCTTTTCCGTCCGAGGAGTGAAACACCTCCTGGTTTCGGAAGTGTTTGTCGGCCCCAAGCGCTGACCCCACGGAGGTCACCGCAAACACCATGAGAATCCGTGGGGGTTCGCGGGCTGGATGGCAGAGACGGGTTCGCTGGACTAGAACCGTCGCGTGCGGGTGGGACGTCACCTGGGGTGTCCGATTTGGACGTCAGATTCGAGGCAGCTGGAAGGTGTTCACACCTGGCACGGCCTCTTGATCCACCAGTTGAAAAGCACCGTCCTGCGCAGATCATGGGCAGATGATGGGTAGATCAGAAAAATCCAACCTAAGGGCTGCGGTGGCCTGCAACCAGGTATGTCGAGTGGCCATGATAGCAATATATATATATATTGGCATGCAGAGTGGCCTCAATCAATGATTTATTGATGTCGAATCGCCCCACGGTCGAGTGGCCACAGGTTTGATGCAGAGTAGATCCCCCTCTGGCTCCTCTCCTCCTCGCTGAAAGCGGTTGCCAGGTGTCGCCCGTGGCCGAGAATGACGCCTATCTGCGGAAGGTTCCAGCCGATGTGCAAGGTGTCCACGTGGATGCTTGGATGGGGGCGGAACGGGCGGGACCTCACAAGGTGAAGCGTGTGCCCCATCTGCTCGAAATGGAAGGTCATGGCCAAGGTGGGGTGGAATGTGAAAGGTTTTTGTTGGATCCACTTCTTCACCTGGTCTTTCGCTACTCCATCCTCATCCTCAAGTCCGTCGAAATGCGAAACGCCGCGTGAACGACCAGCAACGGATCCCGGGCGGTTGCAGGAAACCGTGCCGAACCGCTCCGGAGCACGTGCCGAACCGCGAGACATGCGCGGTGCCACAAGAAAACCCAGTGCCAAGTGCCAGGTTTCTCTGTGCATGATGCCGTCAACAAAGCACTGCGCCTGCCACAACATCTGCACATTGGCGTTCACGTGATGTGCCTGCTAAAAACTAAATGGGCTTCAGAAGTTCACAAGCCAACGAAAACGGGCGGCCTGAACTTCTTAGGCCAGCTTGGCATTCAAGTTAATGACCTTCGGAAGTGGAACCCGAAAAACCTCAAACCTCAAACAGCATACAGCACAAGTCACCTTCCAATCCCCTTGTCGCTCACCGTGTTTCTCTTTGCCTGGCCAAACCGCCGCCCACTCACCACATGGAGCCCAATGTGTAAAGCGCGCAGGAGGCACCACAGTACCACGGTGAAAGCACTGCGACTTGGAGGTCTGCCGATCCGTTGGCAGTTCCGTGGCTCGGGTCCACGACAGTCATGCGTCGCGTTGTCCATGCGTTTGTGGCGTTGGTCATGTCCGCCGTCCTGAACACAGCATTCGTCCCAATCTTCAGCCCCAGGTCTATTGCATCCATTGCAGCCCCCGGGTCCAAAGAAACCTCCAAAATATGGATACGGCAGGGGGTCAAAACCAGTCCTAAACCCAGTTGATTCTGTTCATCTTTAGTGGTCAACCAGGGTCCCCAGGTGACCGGCCCCCCCGACCACCGGTGCTAGGGGTGGCGCATGAAAACGCCATCGGGAGACATCAAGATACACATCCAAGCAGAGGTTGGCTGCTGGTGGCGCGCCCAGTGCACCGGCAAAATCCCATCATAAGGGACCGGTGTTAGCTGGGAGGGATTGGGAGAAATACGTCTTAAGTGTATGTACCTGTCATTAGGGTTTGCCCCGCTAGTTAGTCGCTCAGGCTCGTGTTCGGCTCGTGTTCACGAAAGGATTGTTCACGCCGCCATTGCACGTGAGACAGCGGATTCCATGGACCCCGTCCAACACGATGCTTTCTCCGCCATGGTCGAACCACCCACCCAGTGGTTCTGCACCCCTACGGCCGTCGAGCTTCTGGGTCGTAGAGGGGGGTCCAGGAGTGTGATCCCAGCAAAAGGCCTTTGAGCTACAATTCCACCATCGGAGATAACTGCCACGGGTACAGCCGCAGCAACATTGATCGAGGCGTGCTGCTCAATCCGCGGCCGCGTTGGAAGAGCCTCTCCACCGGGCATCTCGGCGGGAAATTTTTGGCGAATATACACATAAAACTCACACTTTTTCGGTGGCCCGGCACAAAAGCAAACATCTGGGGTCGTTGTGGGCTGGTGATGAGGGCTAACTGGGGACTGTATTTCAGGAAGGGGGTGAAGTGGTGGGCAGGGCGGATTTTCTTGGGGGGTGGTGATTTTAGGTCGAGTTGGTTGGATCTAAGTTTGCGGACCTTCTCAATGGGCCGGCCGGCTTGCATGTGTTGCGATTGAGAGTAAGTTTTAAGGGGAATGCATTGGACCATCCAAGAAACCATTTGATATACGGTATATACATATATAAGTTTAAACTTTGTTTGTTTTGCACCGGCGTTCGGTTGGGGGGGCGCAGTTTTGATTGACATGTGACCTGACTTCGGACTTCGCAGATGTGCTTTTTTCGGTTTTTCCGCGCCAGGCCATCAGCCCTGGTCCTCTGCTGCTGAATCCGCGGTCGCGGTCCTTCGGGCATCTCGGCGGGAAATTTTTGGCGAATATACACATAAAACTCACACTTTTTCGGTCGCTCAGGCTCGTGTTCGGCTCGTGTTCACGAAAGGATTGTTCGGGATGGGGCCAACCCTAATGACAGGCACATGCACTTAGGGGCAGGGAATCTGGCCACACCTATGCCAGCTTTTGTTCAAAAAAAGCTGGACCGTGTTCTGACTATAAGTCAGGCTTACCATGGGTTTCCAATGTGCCCCCCCTGGCCACACCTATTCAGCTCTTCTTCACAAAAAGCTGAACCGTGTTCTGACTATAAGTCAGGCTTACCATGGGTTTCCAATGTGCCCCCCCTGGCCACACCTAGATGGCATATTCAGCTCTTCTTCACAAAAAGCTGAACCGTGTTCTGGCTATAAGTCAGGCTTACCATGAGCTTCCAATGTGCCCCCCTGGCCACACCTAGATGGCATATTCAGCTTTTCTTCAAAAAAACGCTGAACCATGTTCTGACTATAAGTCAGGCTCTCCATGGGTGTCCAATGTGCCCTCGCCCTGGCCATACCTAGCATACGCGATGAGCTCTTGTGGTTTAGGCCACTTCCATGCCATCTACCCCGCACAACAGAAATGTGAAACATGTAGATGGCATACACTAGCGATGGCGGACTCCACCTACTAGCGATGGCCTCCAACCTACTGGCGATGGCCGAAAAAAGCAGCAGAATTGGGGATTATCACATGTGGTAACGTTGACATGTTTGGATCAGAAGAGTTTATCTATACAGGGTGTGAAGCAAGGATGGGTCGAAACCGTCGAGCCCGAGTTCCACCAACACCAGGTCACCGTGGCCGAGGTCGCCACCGTGGCTGAGGCACGACAGCGCTCGTTTTCTGTTTGCTCGTTTTTGCTGGCTCTGCTCGTTTGAACATGAACCTTAAAAACTCAACTATATGTCAAAACCCTTTGGTCTATTTG